TCTGTTATTGTTTTAATTAAATTTAATTTTGTCTTAAATATTCTTTTTTCTTACTTATGCGTTGGAGCCTGAATTGATAATGAATGGTTCTGCAACCAAATATCAATTCTAATTTACATCAATTAATATTTAGGCGCTTTTATGAAATATTTTAGGGTGGCCGTTTTTTTTTGCCGGTGAGTGACAATGATAATCCAGGCCCGAATCTAGGAGGGCTACGAGGGTTATAGCCCCGGGCCTCACGAGATCGGGGGGCATTGACAAGATCTGGCAAAATCCAACCAAAAAGTCTGAAGATGCTGTATAAAAATAAAATAAATCTCAAATCTCAAATCCATATACACGGAAAATTCGCGGCCCGCTAGATTGAGCCGTCAATCAGCGCACCTGTACGTCACCGACAGGGTAGAACACTCATCTTCCACAGAAAGCGTGCAAGGGGTGCAAGATGCAGCTCGAGCACTGGACTGGCATCTATTTCTCCGAATAATGTTCCCTCTTATTTTTCACTGGCTCGAGAAATTCTCGGACTTGTATGTCTGTTCAAAACTTCCTAGTACGGCTTAGAATATCGGTAAAACTAAAAAAAATATGACATTTTCCTGCGATCCGATTTAAAAATATCTTTTCAACGAACTTTTTTTGTAGTTTTCTTTAAAAATTGTGTTTAGGTAAAAGGAACATTTTCCATATTTTGTGCTTGCTTGTAATAGGTTCATATAGGTAGACTGATGGCTTGCAGTTTTGTATGTGAATTAATTAGGCAACTAATAATGTGTAACTTGCTGAACATGAGGTATACTGAGGTTTCTTAGGGTTTATCATTTACTATTTTATATGTAGCGTGATTTTTTTTTAGAAAAGTGCCTTCTGATAGCTTGCAGCCACAGGCCCCACCACAGGTTACAATAAGGTAACAATAGCTGTAACTGAATAAAACTAAGTAAATCAAATTAGTGTAATATTTTTATAGTCTTAATGAACTGTATTTTCATGTAAAAAAATACTACAATGCTTTAAAATAGTCTCAATCTGTTCTAAAACGGACTTTTTTAACTCTTATAAACGGACAATTTTATGGTTCCCAAAAAGTCCTAATTTTACCCCCATGTAGTATCGTAAAGAAATCAAATTATTACCCCACTGTCGAAGCAAAATATGTACCTCATATATTGTTGTAATCAGAAAAAACAGAGGAATCTAAAAAATGACAAATATACAATCCGTTAAAAAAAAAAACACAAATTTGGTGGATCTCAGTAATGCTTAGTTCGATTGTTTATGTACTTCTTTGATATCGCAAGAAAATTTACTAAAACTTTAATCTTTACTGACAGTCCACTTTGTTTCTAACAGAAACTTAAAAAATCCTGGCTAATTTGAAAGGAAAAAGAGAAATTCAATTTGTCGTAAAAGAGAGACAGATATCGACACAAAATGTAAGAGGTATTTTTTGTACTTATTGACATGCATTTTCAGAAAATATAATCAATTATTAATTTATACAGGACCGTACTATTTTTTATATTTTTTTTATAAAATAGCCGAATGAGTTTCCCATATCTCCGCCACTGGTTGCGCAAAAGTCTTGATATTACAGTATTTTATGGAAAGTTGACCCAAAAATATATGTAAATATATACAGGGATGGTCAAAAGTACGGAATAAAATTCATATCTTTTGAATGAGTTAATTTTTTTTAAAACGCCGAAACACGTTAACTGATTTTGATTTTTTCCCATCTTTCGGTTATATAATAATTAATATTTCTTCAGCCCCCTAACCCCCAGCTACCCCTACTTTTTTTTCAAATGGAAACATAAGGCATGAGGGGGCTCGTTGAAAAGCTTATAGAAAACCGAATCCAGCCATACCAAATAAACAAGTTTTATTTTTTCAATAGCAAGGTTTTTAGGGTTGTTTAAAACACCTACTTAACAAGTGAAATAAAATTTAATTATCTTCAGTGTTATCCTCCATGAATTTGCACAGAATAAAATAAAGAATTTGAAACTGTACCTATCACTGCTAACGCAAAAAAGATATATTTTTTATGTTGCGTTTTTTTGGCACCACTTACTTGCCAGGCTTTCTGGTTAATTTTTCGCTTTAGTTGTAAATTGGAGTTCGAAACGTTACTATTGTGTCAAAATCAAGTTATTTACTGAATTGCAATGGTATTGTCGGAAAGGCAACGCATCGAAATCTTGATATTGCTTGGATGTGGAGACAAAATAAGAAGTCAGGCTGAAGTGCGCGATTTATTTAATGCGAAATATCCCGAAAACCAAATCTCGCAAGGGACAGTTAGTAAAATATTTCACAAATTTGAGGAACACGGTACAGTACAGACTTTGCCCAAAACTGGACGGGCACGTGCTTTGAATGAAGAAAAGAAATTAGACATTGCATTAGAACTTGTTGAAAATCCTCATACTTCAACTGTTTCATTGGCCCGCAATCACGATGCTTCTCGAACTGCAATTCGAATGTTTCTGAAACAAGAGAAATACCACCCCTATAAGGTATGTCTTGTCCAAGAGCTTTTGGAAGACGATTATGATAGGCGATTACAATTTTGTGAGGAAATGATGAGACGGTGTGACGACAATAATGGTTTTCAACGAGACGTACTTTTTTCGGATGAAGCTACGTTTTATTTAAATGGAGTGGTTAACAGGCACAACTATCGCTTTTGGTCCCAGGAAAATCCACACTGGACATGCGAATCGCATACGCAGCATCCACAAAAAGTTAATGTATGGGCAGGTATCATCAACAACAGAATCTTGGGCCCATTCTTTTTTGAAGAAAATCTTACTGCCGCACGCTACCTGGATTTCCTAACATTTGACCTGATACCTGCTCTAGCTGTGATTTTCCCTCATGAAATTGATCCAGATATACCGAATGAAAGAATTTGGTTCCAACAAGATGGCGCTCCCCCACATTTTGGTATTGATGTTCGAAGATACTTAGATGAAATGTTTCCAAATCGCTGGATTGGTAGACGGGGTACAGTTGAATGGCCGCCAAGATCCCCCGACTTAACACCCCTGGATTATTTTCTTTGGGGATATTTGAAAGAAAGAGTCTACCAGGACAGACCGGATAATATTGAGAATTTAAAGAACAAGATTAGGGCGGAGATGCATAATTTACCAGCTGAAGTCATTCAGAATGCTGTGGACAGCTTTTACTATCGTCTTGGAGAATTCCAAATAGTGAATGGAGGACATTTTCAGCATTTGCAACATTGAGTTTATTTTTGTAAATTATCTAGTTGTTTCAATTTCTAAATGAAAAAAAACTTGTTATTGAAAAAATAAAACTTGTTTATTTGGTATGGCTGGATCCGGTTTTCTATAAGCTTTTCAAGGAGCCCCCTCATGCCTTATGTTTCAGTATGTTACTTCAGTATGTTATTCTACGTTCAATTTTAAGCAAAAAATTTCGTATGAACTTAGGTCTGAAAACGCTTCGTTTAGGATATACTTGATGTCAAATTTAAAAAAATTAATTACATTTTCTTTAGAACTTTTGACTACTTTGAGTTAAATTCATTAAATTTTGTATGCGGAGGTTTCTTGGGACGGGAAATTCAAATTTTATGGACGATTGGTTGTCTCTCCCAGTTGGCGCCACAAGATCCTTTCAATCACTTCAACTTTTTTGTGCCACGGTGTATGTCATTTCCGAATAGAAAACCATTTTCCCCTATTTTTTTACTTAAGAAATGAACACCTTATTGAAAGAGCAGCCGTTTCCGTTAAAAACTCATCGAAAGATGATGACGCATGCGAATTATGTATTAGAGTGCTAATTATGTATCAGCTTCGTCAGTAAAAAGCATTACTGAAACTAGTTGACGATTAGCATTGATCTATTCACAAAATTCCAATCTTCTGGCATGATCTCTTAAAATTAAATTTACACAGAAGCGAGATAATGTAATTACCTTTCGATCCTTTTTTACCGAATTTCGATATTTTGACTTGGGCAGAAGATATACGCGTTCGCGTTTTTGACTTTATAATTTTGCAATAGGCCGCCATTTTGAAATTGGGGGTCCGGATTGCGGGTATTTGTTGAGCACCCCAACAGTTATCGTTTCCTGTAGTTTGATCCAATTTCAAATTTGTTTTTTAATTTAATTCTGAAAATTTTGCACATTTTTTTTACCGCTAATTTTGCAATGTGAAAAAAATTCGAGCTTTCCCAAAAGCCTTTCATTGTAGTAAATTTCCTCAGAAACAAAATCGATAAGTATACCTCATATCGATAAGAGGCTTATTTTCGGAGATATAAGCGAAAAACTGAAAAAAGATCAATTATTTCTTTTACAACATGATGCTCGACCTCTACAAATACACCAATTTAGGGTTTTATTCTGTGTATTTTTTACTTAATTTTCCGAATACTGAAATCCGATTTTATAGTCGTCTTTGCCATAGTGTTTACAATAGTTTTTTAGTAGTTAGTGTCAAAAATGGCTTGCGTGTATAGCAACTCGGAATTGATGGATATCATTTTTATTTATGGTGAAGCAAGAAAACATTTATTATGGTGAAGAATTTGTGTTATGATGAAACAAGACACAATTTGTGTTAGTTAGAAACTGAGTAAGACAGACCCAAATGTGTTTACACGTCGGTGGACAGACAATATTTGCATAAGGTTATTGTAAAAAGATTTTACTTATGGAATATCTCATATATTTAATGTCACTAGTTTCGGTTTTTTACTCCATTTCGAGATCTACCAATGTAATAAGTTAGATAGTTGGGAAAAAATGAACAAACTAAGCTATAAAGATTTAAAAATACCTTAAACACTTTACATGTATGAAGGAAAATAATTTATCTTGAAATACCCGTAGCAAAGTAAATATTATTTAATTACCCACAATTACAAAAAAATAATTAACGAAATAGTTACCCAAAATAATTATGTACCTTACGTACATTTTTAAATATCAGTTATCAGTATGCATGTGGCATTCTGCTCAGTGCCACTAATACTTCTTCGCATAGGTACAGTAGGTAAGTAAAAGTTTCTTGCTTATTAGGGCAGTAATAAAATTAATGCCATATTTAATTCTACTAAAACGAAGAATAAGTAACATTTACTATTTACTTTTTTATATGTTATTTTAACTAAATTCGACTTCGAGCATGCGAGCGTTGAGATATTAAGCCTAACTAATGATTTTCTTCAAGACACTAATGCGAAATAATAATATAATACATACAACAAGAGCGGATATGATGCCCATATCGCACGAGAACGAAGATTGAACACGACGCCGCGCCGTAGGCGAAGTGTTCAATCGTTCGAGTGCGATATGGACAACCCGCTCGAGTTGTACAATGTATTTTTCCTACGATCCACCAAAAATAAAAATAAGAAAGTTAAAAAATAACAAGAAACATCATTTTAAAACAATTTAATGAACACTTTTAAAAACTAATTCTTGAAATATGTTGTTAACTTAATATAAGTATCTATTTTATTCAGTATTACTATTTTTTACAACGAAAGTACAGTTACTGAAATTACAATTACTATAAGTAATGCTGTCTATCTTTTTTATTTTGTGTTTTCTTAGGTCAATTTAAAACAGATATTGATCTTATTTTTTTAACAGAAACATTTTTGATTAACGATGTTGATGTATATGGATGGGTATGATATTCTGTACAATAATAGTAACCATAATAAAAATGATGGGGTGATAGGATTCATTAGAAAAACCTTTGATTACACGTACTCTATAGTAGAAATTGGTGATATAGGTTCTTGGAATTGATTTACTTTTCGGAGAAAATAAAAAAGTCGCAAAAGTTACCGCAATTTATAGATCTCCAAATTGTGCGCATAATTTTAACTTAAACTTAATGAATTATTTAAATACGACAAAATTCGATGTACATGTAATTACTGGTGATATAAATATAGATATACTCAGTGATAGTATGTTGTCTGAGGAATACAAGAATATAATGAACACTCGACCTCAAAGTAAAACCTGCTTAGACCATTTTTTTATAAAATCTTTGTCAATTAGCAACGAAGATATAAAATCATATGTATTTAACTATGATATAACCGATCATTTACCTATAGCCATTTCAATTTTTTTAAGTAAATCAAGAATAGACGTTACGCATTACAAAAAATATATTAACTACCAAAATTTGTAATCTGAATTACGGAATGAAAAATGGGAAAGACTTTATAATGAAAATAATAAAAATGCTATTACAGAAACATTTATTAACACTCTCAAATATTACATTATTAAAAACACTAAAGTGATTAAAATCTCTGGCAAACAAGTAAAACGCAAACCTTGGATTACTAGAGCTCTTATACAGTCTATAAGTATAAAAAATAAGTTATACAAACAACACCAAATAAACCAAAACGACAGAAATCTAGAAATTAGGTATAAAACATACAGAAATAAGCTAAATGCATTGATAACAAAAGCAAAAAAAATTATATTAAAACACAAATTGAAAAAAATAAAAGCTCATCTAAATTGTTATGGGAAAGTATTAAAAAAATATGTAATAAGTCTAAATCTGAAATAAAAATAAATGAAATTAAAATTAGTGATGATAAAATAATAACAGATAAATATGAAATGTCAATTTTTTTCAATTCATATTACAGTAAACTGGGCGAGAATTATGCAAATAAAATTAAAAATGTAAGTACACATAAGATAAATGATATGTTAGAAAATACTATGTATTTACATTATACAGATTGTGATGAAGTGAATTCAATTATTAATCAGTTAAAATCGAAGAAATCTCCAGGCCATGATGAAATTTGTGCTGAAACATTAAAAGGAATTGCAGATGAAATAGTTGTTCCGTTAACTTTCATAATAAACAAATGTTTTGAAGATGGTTATTTTCCAGACATATTAAAAATTGGGGTAATCAAGCCTTTATATAAGAGTGGAGATAAAATGGAAGTTGTTAATTATAGACCTGTTTCTTTAATATCTAATGTGGCAAAAATTTTAGTAATAAAAAAAAAGAATTATAAAATTTTTAGAAAAATATAAGCTAATATCAGATCGGCAGTATGGTTTTAGGGAAGGAAGGTCAACGGAGGATGCCATTTACAAATTGACATCATATATATATATAATGCTATCGATAAGAAACATCCTGCACTGTGCATCTTCGTTGATCTCTCTAAAGCATTCGATACAGTCAGCCACAAAACTAAAATATTATGGAATTAGAGGAAATGTACATAATTTAATAAAAAGCTACCTATGCAACCGAAAACAACAAGTAAATATTGGTGGGGTAAGAAGTAATCTAGAAACCGTTACCTATGGGGTTCCACAGGGAACGGTTTTGGGTCCTCTATTATTCACAATCTACATAAATAATTTACCTACCCTTAACGTAAATGGTTCCATTCTGAGTTTTGCCGATGATACTGCTGTGTGGTATGAATCAGAATCTTGGTCGGACCTAAAAATAAAAGCAGAAAAAGATTTCAGAAATATAAAAGCTTGGTTTGAGCAAAATAAACTTACCTTAAATGTAGAAAAAACCAAATTTCTTCCATTTACGTCCTATGCAGCACGTTTACCTCATATGGGTCCACTAATTATTGATCAGAATACAAAAATACCTGAAGAAGATTCTATAAAATATCTTGGTATAATTATTATAGACAGACATGCACGGTGGAACCTACAAACAGCAAATATTGTCAAAAAAATCCGAGGATTATTACCTCGATTTAAATATTTAAGAGACTTTTTGGATACGTACCACCTAAAAATATTCTATTATGCCTTAGTACAAATCACACTTGAATTACGGTATAATTGGTTGGGGTGGAGTGTCTGATAGCCACCTACAAAATTTAAATATAATTCAAAAATGGATAATTAAATTAATATATAAAAAAACCATTACTTACCCTAGCGACCAATTATTCAGAGAAAGCGGCTTAATGGATGTCCGTCAATTATTCTGTTTTAATATTTTAATAAAATACTATAAAAAAATATTTAATTCCGCAATCGATAAATCACCCATATAGTACTAGAAACAAAGACAATTTAATTTACATTTCATACATTTACCCTGTTGGTAATTCACAAAAAATTCTTCCATATCAGGCGGTTAAGCATATTCTTTAAACAACTCGTAAAACATCCCAGGAATTACAAATGATTGATCTATTAATTTTACTTGTAATTCATTTTGTAGATCCCTTATATGGTTTACCTTCAAATTTTTTTATTCCTGGCGACGGCATCCCATATAAATGCCAAAAATTAGTACCACCTAAAGTTTTATCAAAATTATTACATATTTATAGAAAAAAGAACAGTGTTGAAGGATGGTTTCGAACCGGGACCTACTCGTTGTCGGAGGAAACGCATTCACTTCGTGGTATCTGGGAAGCTTTACTGCTCTGTCATTTAAATTTTAATAAACATACTGCAAATAAATAGGATATCTTAGATTTGTAGCCCGCCACTTTTTGTAAAGAAAACAGTGAATATACATGTGGGAGTAGGAAAAATTATTTTACTTGTACATACTACTGAAAATTTAAGTTAAATATAATACCTCAGTTTCTGGAAATAAAATATTTATTTACGTCAGTATCTTAAAGCATAAAATTTACTTATAGTAGTATACAGGGTGTCCCACCGGGAACTGCGTCGATCGATATCTAGGAAAGTACTGCTCCGAAAAATTTGAAAATTTGGTAACATGGCAATGTCCGTGGGGGAAACATAACTAAAATATATAGAACCCTTCACCACTTCCGGTTATACCGAAAATCGACACCAACTTCGTTATTTTAAATGGGACAGCCTATGGGACAGCAGGGTGATTCATTAACAATGGGAAAGTCGAAAGTTGAAGATACCATACGTGAAATGGTGACCATTGGCGCAAACATGCCTGATCCGAAAGTTGATAGTTTCGGAAGTACAGGGTGTTGAAAGTTAAAATTTTAAATCGTTTTTAAGATACGTGTTGTAACTTCAGCGTTGCTCATAGAGGGCGCCACTTACGACCAATTTTACCGAAAGTTTAGTTAATAACTTTTTACCCTGTACATTTAACATGAAACTTGAATCAAAACCTGAAAGAGCTATCATTTTTCCATTAATTATGTACTCTTGTTTCATTTCGGTATCTCGATCCGTTTTCGAGAAAAATCGATTTAACGAACACTATGTTTTGATAATATGAGAAATTAAAAGCGAAACAACAAAAAAAGTGTTTTTTCGTGTTATTACAACAATTAACAATAAAACAAGTAAAATACGTAATTATGATTTAAAGTAATTGTTCGAAGAATCCACCGTCGACACTGAGAGATCTTTGAGTTTGAACCAACATATTGCGTCTGACTTCGTTGGCAGCGATTTGTATTCTTTGCCACAACACTTCACACGAGCCAATAGATTCTTTGTAAACTATATCTTTCATTCGAGACCAAATAGAAAAATAAAGAGGATTGAAGTCTGGACTTCTGGATGGCCAAGAAAAAATGTTTACATGGCCAATCCAGCGATTTGGAAAAACTGCATCTAAATATGCACGCACTGGCCAAGAAAAATGCGGTAGAGCTCCGTCGTGCATGAACCACATGTCTTTTCTTAAATAAAGTGGAACTTCTTCGAGCCGTGGAAGCATTTTTATTTGGCCACCCAGAACTCCGGACTTCAATTCTCTTCATTTTTCTATTTGGAAGAATCTATTGGTTCGTTTGAAGAGTTGTTGTAAAGAATACAAATCGCTGCCAACGAGGTCAAACGCAATCCCAATATGTTGTTTCAAACTCGAAAATCTCTCAGAAAACGTTGTGTAAAGTCTGTAAATATCAACGGTGGATTCTTCGAACAATTACTTTCAATCATTATTACGAATTTCATTTGTTTTATTGTTAATTGTTGTAATAACACGAAGAAACACTTGGTTTGTTTCACTTTTAATTTCTCGTATTATCAAAACATAGTGTTCGTTAAATCGATTTATCTCAAAAACGGATCGAAATACCGAAATGAAACAAGAGTACATAATTAATGGAAAAATGATTGCTCTTTCAGGTTTTGAATCAAGTTTCATGATAAATGTACAGGATAAAAAGTTATTAACTAAATTTTCGGTAAAATTGGTCGTAAGTGGTGCTCTCTATGAGCAATTCTGAAATTACAACATGCATCTTATTCGTCGCCTAAAAAAATATAGTTTCACAAACTTTCAAATTCCTAACCTACATATTTTCAGAATAATCGCAAAAAAACGATTTAAAATTTTAACTTTCAACACCCTGTATTTCCGAAACTATCAACTTTCAGATGTTTGCGCCAATGGTCATCATTTCACGTGTAGTATCTTCAGCTTTCGATTTTCCCATTGTTAATGAATCACCCTGTATACTATTGCATTTTCGGATTCTACGTGAAATGTGAGGTCACTTTATTGAACATTCCCTATACTACTGATTTTGACAGATGCAAGGGTCCGTGGAGATGATAGTAACTCTTTTCATGGGCGTGATATCAAGTGGATTTTTGGTACCTACCCGTAAAGGGCATAGCTAACACTAAATATACCAAGTTAAAACATTTAATTCTAGGTGTTTCATTTTTGCTGTTACATTTTGATAACTTCAAACAGCTGTAACTTTGTTAACTTAAATGGAACACCCTGTATTTTTTTACTTTGTCGTATGCAGATTGAAATTTCCTTTCAAGCCATATAATCATTGTTATGTGTGCCGTTACTACTTTTAGAGATATTTGCAATTTTTTATTTTTTAGACAGTTTTTCTCGTATTAGACCTGTTGTCAAATTGGCCATGACCAGAAACACTCCAAAACATTTGAAATAACATGACATTTGTCAAGTTAGTTGTCGGTTTATTGTTATGTCTAAATAGTTTTTGCCGAAATTTTAAATAAAAATTCATGGAAAAAAGCAGCAAATTCTCTACATGTTCTTGAAATTACTTTGTCACATTTTCCGTAAATAACAAACAAACTTTAGAAAATGTTATGGTTTCAAAATAGAACTTAGAAGAATAATTGAACAAATAGAGATATAAACCAAACTCATAATTTTGTAACCAGAAAACCTTATACGTTTTTACATAATTTGAATAGAACATTTACTCAGGATTACGTCGATATGAGAATTTATATATTTAATAATAATTTATAAAATATGAACCAAGACTGTGCATTAAACATAATATATTAGACATATAATTAGTAAATTGCCAAGGAATAATAATTTTTCTCCAACGCACTTATTAATTATAGTTAGGGATAGACATATCAAACTTTATATCACTTTAATGATAAGAAAACCCATACAGCAAATTAATATTTTAATAACGTTTTTAGTCAAATAGATATCTACTTATAACATTTTTGAAACATTCCTTAAATGTTTTTGATATGTAGGTATTTTAAACATTGTTGGAACCACTGAATCAACATTCTGAAAACATGAACAGATAATTGGCATTTGATTAAAATAAATATTTTCTAAATATTTATTTAAATATTTCTAAATATTTATTTAAATATTTCTCAATATTTAAATAAACATGTTTTTACTGTTCAATTTAATATATCCACAATGTTTGATGTGATATTATAAAATAGTTTTTAAAACATGTATGTACACGTACCACAACTTTATTTTGATAAATAAATAAAAAACTGTAGGTTTTACTTAAAATAAGTTTATTTTCAGTTTAATAATTTCAATTTCTAACAAACGTGTTTATATTATACAGGGTGTTTTCATAAAAAGTAACGCAAATGGTACCGATATATTATATTCACCTAAAAAGAACACATTTTGCATAAAAATTACTTCAGCAAAATGTTCCATTTTACACAAATTTTCTACTAATGCATGTGCAACTTCTTAACAATTTTCCGAACATTTCTGCCCCTTGGAAAGGGTTGAAATAGATAGATAGATAGATAAATATATATTTATTTGACCACTGTTTTTTACATATGTATGTACATTCGTACAAATGTGGTATGTCAATTTTCAGTTTGAGTTATGTTATTTTTTGCTACAACTTTTTTGTTTGAAATAAATCAAATATTAAAAAATTTTGACTCTTGCGAGTGCTTTCTTGGATTTACCACTCAATAATTCTATTTATTTTGCGATAACTTAGGAAGAATTATGGCAAATAATTTTACTAATGCTGGATGCTGACACATTGCAAGTATTTTTTGAATGTCGGAAAAACTGTGCCGCAGCAAGAAGAATGTACCACCATCCAAATCTAATGACAGAAATTAGCATGACAGCCGGTATATTTCTTAGTTGCAATCGTGCGAGTTGTAAGGCGAATGATAATAAATTTAAATTTTTTGTTAATAAACGGTTAGTTTTAAAGCAAAAAGTAAATGAGGTACAAGTTTTAAAATAAACTAGGCTATCTTATACGTATTTCTGAATATTCAGTTTTTGTCAAACAAAAAGTTTGTTGCAAAAAATAACTTAAGCGATGCTTATTTCAACCCCCTCCAAGGGGCAGAAAATTATTGAGAAGTTACACATGCATTAGTAGTAAAATTAGTGTAAAATTTGACTTATTAACTTTTTTGATTTTCAAATTACAGCCGCTATTCCATATTTTTTTGGAAACTTTGAGAGGCTGTGAAGGAGTGAACATTTTACTAAGGCCTTTTTGATGCAAAACGTGTTCTTTTAAGCTGTACATTCACCGGTACCATTTGAGCTACTTATTTTGAAAACACCCTGTATATCCTAGTGCACTTAATCCTCCTGATACCTGCAAATGTATTTTCGAAGCTTTAAAACCGTAAAACTTCTATGTATAACTATTTCCTAAAGTTAAAAATAAAAAAGGTTGCTAGGGTGAACATTTTTGATGGCAAACCCTACATTCTATTATTGCATTTGAAGTTGTTTATCAGTTTTCAGAAGAAAAATTAGCTATGTTATTCCAATATCTTTTCGGTGGCGTCCTAGTTTTTTTCATGACTCTAGTGGTCATCGTCACCGCATACGTGCGTCACTCCTACGGATACTGGAAAAGGAGGAATGTGCCTTATTTAAAACCTAATTTTCCCTATGGAAACAACGACTACCTAGTTCCAAAGGGAATTGGTATAGGAATGCTCACCAAAAAGTTTTATCAACAGTTTAAGAGCAGGGGACATATGATCGGTGGTAAGTCAAGTTAAGAATAAGAATTCCCGAAGGAATTGTTTGAGAAAAAGTCATTGAAACCTGCGCATTTCTATAAGATATTTTGTGCTAATTAGTAGTTTACAATTTTTTATTCATTTTGACAACTCTTAACTCTTCCGTGTTTAATCGTTTGTGAAATACTTTTTCAATTTTCAGGAGTTTACATTGGTATCGAGCCATATATAATAGTGTTGGATCCAGAATGCATCAAGGATATTTTAATAAGAGACTTTCAGAACTTTACCGACAGAGGAGTGTACATGAATGAGAAAGACCCTCTAAGCGTTCACATTCTTTCCCAACCAGGCCCCCAATGGAAGGACGCCAGAGTAAGTAGGCGGCCATAAGGAAGCACCGCACCTAGCATCATAGCACCCTCGCACCACGTACCAAGCTTAAATTAGTCCAGTCATTGAAGGTAAAATACGGTGTTCTATATAATTTCCCCAAAGAGCACCGATTTGCAACAAAATTTGGATTTAGGTTCTACTTACTCTCTACTTCAAAGTTGACCCAGTGCCGGGGGTTGTTTTTTATTTTTTAGGGGTGAAAACTACCCCTATTCGAAAATAATTATAGAATTGTAGATTCGAGCTCATAATAGGTTGAAATCATCTTTAAATAAGTAATTATGAAGAATTGAAATTTGCTAATGCCCAAAAACCACCCCCTATGACAGTAATCATTAAAAAATAATGTTGAAAAATATTATTCAGCAACTTGGAATAATTTAATCATACAGTATTAAATTAAGATTTCTTTACTGTTTTAATTTTTTATTATTTATTTATAAGTTTCAACCCTTATAAAAATCACCCCCTGCAAAAAAATCGAACAATTATAGTTAAATTTTTTTACTTCAAAATATAATACAATCTTTTTATTATTTAAAATGTAATGTATTTATTTTATCAAACCTTAAAAAAACCCTGTTGATTAGATTTGCAATCAAAAATATGGATTTTAATTTTTTTATTTTTATAACAAAAATGTTTTTTATTGCAAATAACATATAAATAATCAAAAATGTAAATACGTCTGTGCCTAAAATATAAACTATACCTAATGTTTATTCATCAATGCTTCAATATACGTGTTCTGATGCCTGCAAAAATATGTGATGTGATCAAGCTTCTTTCAGCCGTTATTTTTGTAAGGGCTTGAGCTGAAAGGGCTTGAACAAGTTGCTATTTACGAACATATGCAAACAGAAAAAAAAAACAAAATTTCCAAGAAAGCAAAACCTACATTTTTATACACTGCAAAATTTTGCGTATCATTAATAGTTTTTGAGTTATTTTGAAGAAAAGACAATCTATTCCAAAAATACAAAAATTCACTTTTCACTTCAAGCTCAACTTTTTTCAAAACTAAGCACTTTAAACCGGTCAAACTTCTAGGGCATATTACAAGTACATATATAAAGTAAATTGAAAAGTGGTAACGATTATTTTCAATTGGGGTGGTAATTAGGGGATGATTTTCACGTTTTTTGTCGCTGAAAACAATACGGACCAACTTTATTTTCGTCATAACTCGCTTAGGTTTAATACTAGTGAGTTTTATAAAAAAATAAAAATAAAGGTTTTTTCGAGCACTTTAAAAAAGGTATGAATATTCCCTGAAAATGCATTGGTTATTGGTTATTTCACGTTCAAACTTTCAATTTTGGCGTTTGACGAATAAGAACCAACTTTCAACAAGCTATTACTCCGATTGTATGGGTCTACAGACACCATAAATACACCATTCTTTTTTTTTAAGCTACATTTATTATAAGAATGATTTCTTTGATAAAATACTTACTTTTTGAGTTATCCGCGAAAAACCGTCTGAAAAAGTGGTTTTTTGGTTAAAAAATTTACACTTCCACTCGCGAATAAGTCGAAAAGTATTGACTTTCAGAAAAAACTTTATAGAACAAAAGTTGCTTAGAAGTTATTTTCAATGAAACAGGGTAAAAGCAATCCTCTGTTCAAGGTCAACTTTGAAGTAGAGGGTAGATAGAACCTAAATCCAAATTTTTATGAAAATCGGTGTTGTTTGGCAAAATTGTACGGGAAAATGGTCATTGACTGAACTAAATTTTTATTTTAAATATTTTATTTGTTTGCTGAAAAACTTGAAATTATTTAATAATCTGATTTTGATAAATTTAATTAAGAACGGTTTTATAATATTTTCATATTTATTTTTTTAATTATTTTACTACAGTATGCTTTAATAACTTGTTATATGCTACGTAATTTATCATCTTAAAATAATATTACAAAACAATCTATGATTTGTTAAATATATTTTAAAACAAAGTACAAAAATGTTTTAAAATCACAGTTTTTATTTTTTATCAGTGATTCATTATGATGATATGAGTTATGAATATACCTAATATCAATTTTATCTAATAATTCTATGTAAATATGCTCCAAAATTAAAAAAAATTTAACTCTATAGTGCACTTTCAACCTGTATTCTAATTGAAGCAATAGAGTAATCCCAAAGAACTTCATCACGAGAAAATTGTAGATTATAAGCGAATGGAAGCATTATTAATACAGACTGGCGTCTTAAGGTGTGTATACATCTGCGCTCCGCGTTTGATGCAAGTTCTCTATATTAGTACGGAGTTTTCGAGTTCCGCACGAACCGCGCCGTGTGCGGATCTAGAAAAATTGCTGCAAGCGCGCGGCGCGCTCTCGGATCGGAGCGCAGATGTATACACACCTTTAGAAGCTCACCATTAATTTGTGGAAAACCTTTGTCAGCTAGAATTTGGTCTCCGCCTTGAATTAAATTGCGAAATCCTGAATCGTTTGATATGAATCCATCAGTAGCTCCATATGCTTTTGACACAAAAGTAATCATACCTGAGCTAGATTTATAAGTTGAATACATCAAAATTCTCTGTTTGACTGCTGATGGTGTATCAGTACGAAGTTTAAAGCAATCAATTATTGCTCGACAGTTCGGGCAATGTTTCTCTAATAGCCTTTTTTTATGGCCAAAATATCCACGTTTTGTGTTAGCAATCAATGTTCACAACACTTGAAAATATGTTTCCAGCAGCGAAAGGTAATCCAAGTTTCATCTTCATAAGAAATATCAGAAGTCTATTCTCAGCAGAAACTTTTTTTTAAATTATGGTTGACTATCTTTTGCAGGAACAATAAATTTGAGTAAAATGTGAAAAAAAAATAAGTTTATTCCAGTGAATTACTTCGTCAGTTCGCCTGTCGTTAAACACGTGCCTAAAAAAAAAACCTGTATTTTTTTTAAGTGCGAGCCCCAGCAGAACTTTAGGAATAATTAGATTCATTTCAACATTTCCATCCTGAGCCGATAGAACCTCATTCCCAATTAATCAGATAATCATAAGTCTTACATAAATCAATAAAGTTGATTTTATTTCGTCAAAATTATTAGATTAAGTTAAGTATATTTACTTACTTAGATACTATTATCAACTTCAATTGGAGTTGTATCGATTTTTAAAGGTGCAATTTTTTCACATTGTACTTTCAATCTTTCAGCTTGCAAATGTGCGTTGAGATTTTGTTGTTTTTTTCTATATATTGAAGGAAATATAGTGGGGTTATAAGATTCGTTGAGTGGATTAGGGAATTCTTTTCTTCCAACAAACTGAACCATATAAATCCTAGAATTTCTCCGGGAAGCCACGGTTTTCCATCACTCCTGAAAATAAAATATTCTATTAAAAATATGAAATATTAATTTATTAGGATCCTACACTTACCTTATTTTATATTCTGAGTTAACTTGAAATTGATATAATATATTTGAAATAAAAAAAACTACATAAAAGTTTAACTTTTTTTGCTTAATATTTATTTTTTTTTTTTACAAAAGACGATTATTACATTTTGTATTTGTATTTTTGTATGTAATAGTGATGATTTGAAATGTCAAAAAAATTACCTAACGACGCACTGCTACAGTCAATTTTCTTTTCCTCTCTAATTCATAAGAATGTCCAGGAAAACGGTAAAATTGTAATTCTGGATTTTCACCATCTATATTTTCACATCTAACAACACAACAGTTACTTCTTAATTGTTTTTTTTTATTTAATTTAATAATAAATCTTATTAAAATACATTTATAGCATAAATGACAATGAGAGTTCGACCTACTCAAGATTTAAAAAAAAAGCACGAGATGGAGCAAAATCTGCGCGCCAAAGATACTTTTCTAAAATATAAAGGAATGATTTAAGACAATATAAATATTTCTTCACAAAAAAAAAATCGTTAAAGTGAGTTAGTCCATCTTATGCTACAGTTTCTGCAATGAGATGAATACAAAGCCGTACAATTTTTATATTTCGAGTTATTTCAACAATTTCTTTTTATTATAAAAAAAAAACGTGAGTTCTACACTTTTGTTTGTGCTGTTTAATCAAGAATGTAAGACATATTGTGATCAAGTTGTTACCCCCAGAAACATATTATCTTTTATTAATTATTATAGTTTAAAAATCATGCACGTATAAATGTTTAATAATTGAAATAAATAATTAATTTTTTACAGATTTGCAATTATTGCATTGTCACTTTTTAAGAAATAATATTAGATAAAATAATCTCTTATTTAAAGACACAAGACTTATTTTCTTCATTTCCTTTGTAGGGTTTACACCTTTTTATGCTTTTTAGCAGATTCGAACCTCGCCAAATAAATAACGTTTGATATTTATTCTGGTACGAAAATAGATTCTGATTAAGTATTTTTGTGAAATTTTTGATAAAAAAAATTACTACAGTTGTAATTTTAAGGGAGTGTAAAAACAATCACATAAAGTCTTGCATATGTACCGAACAGCAGCTTCAAATGTTAAAATATATATTTTCAACAACGTAAATAAATAAATTAGTAAATAAATATCAGAAAATTATACGGTTTTAAATCCAACATTGGATTTGTAAGTAGTTGTAAATATTACACTGAAAAAAAAAACATATTTTTGTTTATTCAAATTACGTAAGAAAGCAGTACATTGGTCAATGTTTTGTGAAAAATTTTCACAGACTAGCTTTGTTTTATATCTTCTTTTTGTATTTTAGCAACTACTTATACTCAAGATAAAAAAAAGAATGAATTTCGGGAGAACTACTGAAATATTTTAACTGTCAGTAATTTTTCTTTAAATTTTATGTACTTATAAGCAATATCGTATTTGTCTGTTCCATTTGAAGGTTTTTGTAGACCTTATGTAACTTTTCAGGTAAAACTTTCTACAATATTCACATCCTCGAAAATAAAGGCGATGTTTGAAACGATGTTGGATTGCTCTGGGGGATTAAAAGGAGCCTTAGAAAAACTGTCGCAACAAAAAGACGACGTTGACATATTAGAAGTAGTATCTTGCTACAACACAGATGTCATAGGTGAGAAGGTTATTTTAAAATATAGTTCGTGCTATTTCAATAATATTCTTATATAGGACGTTTTTGTAAATGGCATATAACTGTCGGATTAATATCAAATTTCCACCCGAAACAAAAGAAACATGTCCAATTATTTAGTCGGATGTAATAAAATTTAAAATGAACATGTTGTGGATTTTTCTCTCAGAAAGAATACTGTCTTATTATTACCACAGACAAAATAGCTAACGTCACAGACCGCTCCTGGAATAGGCCAGCAGTTTTAAATTTCCGAATTGCCGGTAGAGTACACCACCAGCAGAATTTTAGGAAGAATCAAATGCAGGGGCCCGCATACCCAAGCGTATCCTAGCAACATATAAACAAGACTTTGCTAATGTTGCCAGGCGTACTTACGGATTTCTTTTGTACACTTTTTTATCAACATCTGTTTTTTGCGTTACTGTATTTACTTCAATGTATGATGTAGGTATTGATAAAAAAATGTTTTTAAAGAATCAACGAATATCTATGTATGTATCATATGATATTCTGCAGTGGTGTTACAATTAAGTTATTTTATCACAATTTGTTAATTAGCTACCTACTATTTTCATTTTTTGGTATTGAAATACTGCAGAAAATATATTTCCAAATAAACAAAATTCGTAAGAATATTTTAAACAGCTTGTAATATAATTTTTTTAATATTTGATGATGACGATAAATTTATTTAATATACAAGGTGGGTTATTAGTACGTCGCGGAATGTAGGTACAGTTTTTTTTTTGTATCATGACATCCACTTATAGGTTTAATAATTAAAGATAGAAAGAAACTTTAAATACAAATGTACGACTTTTCCTTTATTTCATTTGACATCAAAATTT